TTCAGAGAATTTGTTCTAGGAATCAGCAGAGGACGGAATTCGCATGCATACACGTGCTACCTCCTGTCATATCATCACGTACACTTTCTTTAAAAAATTGAATGAAAATACAATTTAATAAAATTCGAATCCGAAATGAAACTGCCGGAACCGTATCTTGCAGTCCGGACTGCAGCTATAAGCGACTTGAAAGTCGAGATGAAGTCCTAAACCAGCTCGTTAAATACTCGTATTAATCAAGATGTAAGATATTTCAAATGAAATTTAGCCTGTAATCGTATAATATTCTTTGCCTTTAATTCATGTGGTGAACTGTTATCTGCCCTGTGTGGAGGCGGGCTAAATTACCTCCACCGTAGCCCTGCGAGTCGTAGAATTTTATTTATTTATTTATTTACAATCTACTTGACCACTGTAAGTAATAAGTAAATGCGATGGGTGTTTATGTCGTGAAGGCGGCAGCTGTCCAGTGGCAGTACTCTACCTTGAGTCGTAGAAGGAAACGAAAAGGGAATCGAGATTTAGGTAAATATGAACGATGTTGTTTATTTGAAACTTTCAACGGAATTCTCAGTCTAGATGGACGAATGTAATAGAAAATATCGTATTTTTTTTTCAGAATTTATTTCTTTTGTGCTGAAAATGAAAGAAAATTTTATAATTACCTTCCTTTTTAGTAACTTTCGCAACCTTGCAAAATGCCAAATAAACCGCTCCGTCCATATGCGTGAAAAAAATCTCGGGAATCGCTTGGCTGGTTTTTCACGAAATGTGATATTGGCATGTTTCGCTAATGTATGGCTACACGTTCCACTTGCGTTTAAATATGGGACGGCGACGGCGAACATGTTACATGAAAAAACGCGTTTTTGCGCGTGACTCAAGCATATCTCCTTAAATAGTAATTGGAGCGAAAATGTTCCGAACGGAAGTCATACAGAAAAACGAAACACGCACCATATTCTGAATATATTTTCCGCAAGTCTCCAATTTTATAGATAATTAAAGAGCAATTGCCGAAACGTGCTTAAATTTCTCAATTTCAGTATTCAACAATCAACAGTGGCCTCCCGAATGTATGCGAAGATTACCGAACAATGAATAACGGTTCTCAGAATACACGCCAAAGATTATAATAATTGAACGATGTTTACTCCTACGGAGTTTATAGGTATGCATGCAGGTCTGCATAAATATATGTTTAATTAAAGCATAATCTTACACTGAGCATAACCGAATTTGAACGTATCGAAACAAATACTTCATCATTAATGTTATCGTGTCATTTTTCGCCTGTTAAACCAGCGTTTCAAGATTTTCTTAGGGTTGAAGTGAGTGGGCTAAAGATACAGACAGACTGCATGGAAAGCCAGTACGTTCTTTCGAAACGTGGGGCTCCACCTGCAATAATATACTACAATACAGGGTGTCACAAACTAGGCAACGGTCTGAACACTCACCACCTTGAAAACTCGGAAACTTATATTATACGATATTTATAGTATGCATCATGTTTTGTGTCATATATATACTCTTGGAGCTGAGCCCTTCTTGAGGAGCCGCAAATTCTGCAGCTACTCAAGAATTTTCCAGCATTTTATGGAACCCGAAGCTTCATTACCATGTTCATAAGAGCCCTCCACTGGTCCCTATCCTGAGCTAGACCAATCCAATCCATCCCATACTATCTCTCTAAGATCCATTTTAATATTGTCCACCCACCTACGCCTTTGAATTCTCTGTGGTCTCTCTCCTTCTGGCTTTCCCACCAATATCCTATATGCATTCCTCGTCTCCCCCGTTCGTGCTACATGCCCTACCCACCTCATCCTCCTTGACTTTATCATTGTAATTGTACTTGGAGAAGAGTGCAAGTTATGAAACTTGTGTCATATGTAGGACATATATATATATATATATATATATATATATATGTGTGTGTGTAAAATGGGACAGTCTACACAACAATATTTAAAAAATACTACTGTAGCAGCATTTGTTTATTGAGACGCAGTTCAAGAACTAATGCTAGTATTCTTATACGATTGATGATGGCCCAACATGAGGGTCGAAACATCTAGCGTCAACAGCCAATAAAAATTGTATTGTACGAGTATGCTGTGTATTGTACAGTCTTGAAGATCACACACTTCTCGAAGATGACGCCAGACACTCTGATAGATAGGTCCCTACGCTTCGGAGGAACTTTCTGCTGTCATCTTCAGGGTAGGCTCTGTAGTTAACTCCGTGAAAACCTCAGGCGTCGCATTTTACAATGCTGTTTCTAGTTTTAAAGGGCACGATCTTTCCATACTTAACTTCGCTTTCGTCCGCCCCTCTCATCTTCCTCTGTCAAGCTGAGTAGGTTGAAGCAGGTCTGTATTCGCGGAGCTCGGTTCGAATCTCGGCGTGACACCGGCTATCCCGACGCAGGTTTCTCGTGGTTTTCGTAGCCCCTCCAGACAAATTCCGGGGTAGTACCTTGATTAAGCGAACACCGCTTATATAAAAATTCTTCCCAATGCATTTATTCACCAATCAAAAGACCATTCGAAGCTCTATAGTCTGAAATGTTGACAGCGTCATAAAATAAATCACAAAAATGAGAACTTCTTCGAAATGATACTTGAAACCCCGTTAGTAATCACATTTTTTTAAAGTTCATTGTTGATTTTCTTCTTGCTTGGCTAATTTATTTGCAAAGAAACAACCACGTGTAAATATATGGCGGGCTTTGTCCTACGTCAGGGTCGTGTCCTGCGTCAGTAACTTTGTTATGGTTAAAGAACTCCTCTGTTCGACCTTGACAGTTTCCGGCGGTCGTGGGGGCGCCTTGTCTTCATATAAACTCATCTTCCCACACGAAATCGTTATTATATGTTATACATATAACACACATATTGATTCATAACGATTTATACTTTTCGTAATGCATTGCACGAATTTTGTATCATGAACTGTAAATTATATTTTGGTGAAATTTGACGTGAAAGATTTGTGTCTGGCGTTAGTTGTCTCCTTCAGCTTGTTTCTATATTGACTAACTTCAAAGCTAGGCCGCATCATAGCTCAAGCGGTTAGTCGCTGGCTTTCCACCGCGACGGCCCCGGTTCGATCCCGGGTCTGGTCAAGTGGGATTTGTGGTGGAAAAAGTAGCGCTGAGGCAGGTTTTCTCCGAGTACTTCGGTTTCCCCTGCCAATCTTCATTCCGCCAATTGCTCCACAATCACCCTCACCTATCATCTGGGGCTGGTACAATAGGCCAGAAGTGGCCGCAGTACAAGGGACTTAGTCCCACCCCACTAAAAAAATTCTTAAAAGCTTGCGTTTCATATGATTAATAGACTCTTTCATGTACAACATTAACCGTAATCAAACTTTTGTTAAATTCATGGTGCTACATCTGTGCTTAAGATTTGCTAGCCGTTTAGAGATGTAGCCATATTGACTGATTACAGAGCTTATTTTACTAACGTCACAAATTATAAGGCCATAAATGATTTCTTGTAGGCCTTTATCATAAATCGTTAAGAAGATTTTGGTAGAATTCGTTATAAGAGATATATACTTAACGTTATATAGCCATTCTGATTTTCAGTTGTATTGATCAATTACAACCCGGTCTAGAAAACCGAGATTAACGACCGTGGGGATCCGTTGCGCTAACCACGTGACACGCTTTATCCGCAAAAGTTGGCACTAACTTCGCAGACAAGCGACCGTCGCGCGTTCTGTATAGTTCGTTTGCCGACTACAGGCCACGGAGTTTGTTTTTTTGTTTGTTTTTTGATCAGTTACAAAGTTTATTTTATATAAATGTCCATTCCCTATGAATTCATTGGATTTTTCAATTGACCTAATCCTTCCAGCCGCCCTATGGCCCTGGGGTCGTTTTAGGCTCGAACAGAAATGGGTACTAGGAATCTTCCTGGGGGTAAAGGGCGGCCGGCTTGTAAGGCTGACAACCTCACTGCCATCTGTGAGCCGATTATCTAGAAAATGTGGGAGCCTCGACGTTTCACAACTCTATGGGCCTCCACAGACTGTTACAGGGATAGTTTTACCGATTGTTTATATAAACGATAGTGTGATACCCGTGGGGAATTTAACCGAAAGACTTATCATTTCTAACGCATATGAGTTTTCGTATGTTAACTTCTTGTCCTTTATTCCGTGTTGATTTCTATTCCTAGTTTTTTGTCGAATGATGCGTTCAGGGCCACGTTTAATGCCATCTCTCAGGAATAATACGCACAAGTAGTCTGTCTTAGATATTCTCATTTATATAGCGATTTACTCCGTGGCTTTAGTCCACATTCGAACTATACCGACTGAGCGACCGCCGCTTGTCGGCGAAGTTAGTGCCAACTTTAGCGTATAGCGTATAGATGTCATCACACGTATTGAGATTCCAAGTTAAAAGTTGTGCGTATAAAATTAGAAAGTGTCTAGATATACCCATCTTCCAAGAATCTAGGATCTGTAAGACGACTTCACTCCTCCCTGGCCACTCATATCTAATGTATGTTGTGCCCACTTCTATTGCCATTAGATCAGTCTCACTATTAAATGTTGCAAAAGGGACAAAAGAAACAAAAAGCAGAATTATTCAGCACACTACTTAGTCATTAAAAGGAAACGAAAAACGAAAGGTAATGCCATATTATCAGCGTTGGTAGTGTTAATTTTTCACCTTGTATTACTAGATTATTAGCATCTATCCAGGATATTGACACATTCTGAAGATGGCGTCGTTTTATTATTTTTAATTTGGTTGTAGCGATAATATATAAAATTATAAAATGAGATTACTGAGTGATATGTATGACAAAATTAACATTGTGAGTTGCTGACACGCAGGCACGTCATCACACTTGCGTGTTATATACAGTAAGGTAAAATTGTCCCTGTGCTTAACTTGATTAAACACTACTCCATTGCGTATGGGGAAATGGATGTATAGATCCATATATACAGTATATGTTATTTGTTTATTTCAGAATGGTGTGAATACAGACAGCGGTCAAACAGTCAGGGAAGCTGCCTTTGATGGCATTAACGAGTGAGTATACATTAGCATGTGAACTGAATCATGGAAGTGTTTTGATAACTTCAGTACTTTCTTGTGGATAATATTGAAATCAATAAGACTGCCTGCTGGTCGGAGTCGATACGTTATACAGACTTCCGCCATCTGTTAGCAGTTATTGGAAGTGAAGTATGGCTCGTCGTATGGTCCGTGGCGCAGTAGTGTTCTACTTCCATGTTACATAAGTTCGGAAAGAAGGAATGTGACAAGAAATTCGTGACATACGATTTAAGGCCCCTAAATAAAAAGAAAATATAATGTATGACCAGGAAATGAGTAATTGACATGGTCAATAAGGACACTTAATGAGGATTTTGTGAAAATCTTGGGAAAATTTGCTACTGCTGTTACGGAACCCATTTTGTTTCCAAAGCTCGAATTTATTAATGCTTTGATTTTATATGAATGGTATAATGTTTCTCCTGCCATGAATGATGTGAAACATTAACTTAACTGCGACTCTTTTTTAACAGATTCACTGTAAACAACAAGCTGTTGCATCCAGAAATAGCAGAATGGTGAGTATAATACAGTTAACCCCGTAAGGGTGTTCAAGAGGCCGAGAAGTTCCAGGAATTCGACCAAAAATGTCCGTTTACAGCAGATGTAGGGGATATCTGGTTCTGGTTGAAGGCAATTTTTAGTAATAACGTAATTTAGTATTTTGAAAGATTATGTAATAAATTGTGCCTTCTTATACTTTAAAAAAATGTCAAGATCAATTGCGAAGCATATGTTTTTTAGAGGTGGAAAGGTATTATTACATGACTTGACGTCAATGCCAGTGATGTGGGGAAAATTGGCAGTGTGTGGTTTATCAAAGTCGGAAATAGATTTAAAATGTGGTAAAAGAAACGATTTAAGCCAAACAACAGTAATTATGCAAGATGGTTTGGAAATACAGGAATTGCCAGCAATTGTAAGAAAAGTTAAGGATGTCGGTTCTCTACCAAATTTAAATTTTGCTAACAGTGATTCTGTGAAAGACGAAGTGGATGTTGGTTCACATACAAGTAACACATCCCAAGGAAATGATATAAATTCTGGGGAAGTGTCATTCGTAGAAAATGATCCAGAAGCCACTGAAATAATAGAGGGGTTCAATAGATGCTTTGCAGCTAAAGGAGTTTTCTTACTTTTGGAGACTATACCAGATGAAGAAGTTACTCCTCTTGTAGCCTTTTGTGCCCTAAAAAAGATTATAGAGCTTGAAAATAATCACCAATACCGCAATGCTTTTGTGAGGAGTGGGGATGATTCATCAGAAAATTTCACTAGGACGGCTGTCTTCAGTCAACTAATAAATACTATAGTGACAGGTGAAGAGTCTGGCATAATCTTAGACACGTTGAAGGTAGTGAGTAGGGAAATGTTTGGTGCCAGCTCTGCTCATTACAGAGATAAACTTTGTGATGAAATTCTTGTAAGAGTTACAGATGGTAAGTTCAGTGTGGTACAAGTGTGTGAAATTGTGAGAATGTTGGCATCATTTATGAATGCAGAAAAGAATACTGAAAATGTGGACAAATTATGGATTGGGCTGGTAGATAAAGAGAAAGAAATAACTGAGAAGAATATAATGGAAGTTTTTCGTATTTTGCCATTTCTTAAACAAAGCCGAAAAATGGTGTTCAGGCTTTTAGAAAGGAAGTCTCGTATCGTTTGGTGGAGATTGCCAGGTAGTGCCATAGCAGAAATTCTTTCCATCTTATTTGAAGTGAAACTTTTTTCATCAAAGATGATGGTTGTCCTCTCCCGCTGGACGAACACCAATATTCATGCAGTAAGCGAGGATGATTTGTTGGAGATAGTAAGAGGCTTTTGTGCCTTAGATTATGTGGATCCAGGAATAACAAGAGCTCTTGAACGTTATGTTAAGGCAAAATCCTCGAAAGTTAAGAATGCAGCTGTTTTGTCAGCAATTATGGATTACTGTGGTACGTTCCAGCTTAGATCAGAACCTATCTTGAAAGGTTGTGAGAGATATTTCATTGAACATGGTTGGAGTTTTTCTCCTGTTATAATTAAGGCCATGTTTGCTCCATTTGGCACTTTGAATTTTCCACCATCTGACAGTCTGAAATTCTGGCATGTCCTTGAGAGTGTACTTGATGAAAAATTTGTTCAGTTTCGTCCTGATGATGCTCTTGATGTAATGCTGACATGTGTATATCTTGGAAAATTTCCTTTGAATTTTGTTCAGAAGATCTTCAATCCCTATTTTCTTGACCGGGTGCATTCATACAAAGACATGAATGTCTTGAGACAAATGAGGACAAAACTGAAGCTGTTTGATACTGCAATGACATTGGAATGTTCTCAGTACAGTGGCCCAATGCTTCCTAGAGACCATTCAGCCAAGAGTTTGTGGCAGGATGGTAGAATCCGCCGCATGATCAACTACATCTCAGAGCCTCTTGCGGACATCACTGGTGGACATGATAAGCTCACCACTTCAGTGATTCTGCAAAATCTTCCAACCTTGGAGCTATATGTCATTGACATCATGTTGCATCCAAGTGGCATGGGAGGATCGACAATACACTTCAACTTGCGTCGTGAGTGCAATGTATATGTGGCAGTGTTGATCCATGTGCCTGAACACTATTGTGCTGGTAGTACGCAACTTATTGGACCACAAGTTATGAGGAAGCGACATTTCAGACGGCTTGGAATGAAAGTTGTGGAGTTGCAGTATGATAGGTTGGCAAAGCTTAGGGTGCATCCCAAAACTCTGGATGAATATCTTATAGAAAAACTGAAGTCAGCTGAAGATGCGATATGAAGTATTGCCTGTCAGTGTAAAAGTAATGCCATGTAAGTTAATGATGAGTGGTAGTAGTGGTGGGGTTGGTGGTAGCAGCAGCAGTAGTAGTAATAGTAGTAGAAATGTACTGTTTTCATTTTCATCCTTGCATGTGGCCCATTTATGCTTCTAATTGATGGGCTGTGAATAGCATTAATATTCCTCAGTTCTGGACCATCTGACTTAACTGGTAGTAGTTCCCAAAGCTTCAGGATTGCCAACACAATGCTCAGCCTATTCCATCTATCTCCCATTCTCACAATCTATCTTCACAGTTACCATCTTAATATTATTCTTATGTCTGATGTTTACAAAATATAATACACACTTTTATTTACCCAGATATGATAACTAAAAAAGGTAAGTACTAAGATGCTCAGTGTTGTGACACTGCCATTAAAGGTCCTAAATTTTTTCCTCATTTACTGAAATATCCAGGTGTGATCATGAACTGAAGAAAATATTTATGTTGGCTGTTAGGTTAGAATCTACCAGTAAAAGAAACATATTTACTTCTTTATAATTTCAATTTATTTTAACCTTCATTGGCTGTGCATCACACTATTCCAATGAAACACATATGCATTAGAGCTAAGCTAACACTTCATTCATTCAATATAAATACCACTATATCCAAGTTAAAATCTGGCTGTTACCATCTGCAGCAGAAATAGTAACAGTAAATTTGAGTTCCCTGCTCCCAAGCAATAAAAGTTGTCTAGTTTCATGATTTTTATGCCCATTCTGCATTAGATATTTGAAATATGTTTCAGTCGTGTGATTAAATCAGATTTGGAGCTGAAGGTGTTGCGCTATGTGAACAAGATTTCATCAGATGCACACATTCACGTGATGCGCACAGTTCGTGCTGGAATGATGGAGTACCAAGCGGAAGCAACATTTCTCAACTATGTATATTTAGTTGGTGGCTGCCGTCATGTTGCCTACACATGCATCTGTACTAGTGGTGACAATGGGTCAATTCTTCACTATGGACATGCTGGTGCTCCCAATGATCGATGTATTAATGATGGAGACATGTGGTCAGTATTATAAGATATGAGGTCGATGTGATACGCCAAAAATATTACAGTAAAACCTACTTATAATGTAGCCCTGAGAAACATGACTGGTTTTTGTTGTTTTGGGTAGGTTTCCATTTGACATGGGCACAGTGAAAACATTGGGGCCTACCCAGTCTCTTCTCTACTGGGTACTGGTGGCAGTTTCCCTTTGGGGGCCACCATCTAGTGCCGAGGTGAAGATTGGTAGAACTGCATGTTTGTTCGCCATATGTCTCCATGGGATAGGGCTTAACTAATTAAGCACAGGGACAACTTACCTTTACTTTGAAATTGTTACACAGTACTTAATCCAAGTATTAGTTATGAAGTCATGAGTTACAAACTCTTAGCTGTGTTTGTACTGTGTAATGTTACTAAGCAGAAAAGGTTTCAGTAAATTTCTATGTTAACTTTCTCCAGTAGTTCATTAAAGATGGGAGAGATGAAGAAAACATACAGAATTTTGGAAAAACTGAGGAAATAATCAATCACTAATGAGTAAATTGGTTAGTTGTGGCAGTTGTAATGTTTGATGTGTGTTGTTTAATGGGATCCATCCTGTGCAAAAGTGAACAGTCTGTTGTAATAAATGTGTAGTAGTTTGCATACATCCTTAGTAACTGAAGAGGATGATGCTGCTTGAAGCAGCAGCAGTTGTCATCATAATGATGACGATGATGACGATGATGGTGGTGGTGGTGGTAAAATGTCCACAAGTAACAGAATTTGTAGAACAAGACAGAAATTAGAAAGAACTAATTGATGAGATGAGTTCTGACAGGATTTCCAAAAAGCTCTTAAAATATCAGTTAAGAAGAAAATAAAGTTTTGGAGGATGTGTGAAGTGATGGTAGGATTCTGTTTTGTAATGCAGCAGTCAAAATAGGCCTAATATTCTTTGTAAGAAAGACGCTACCTCTGAGTTTGATTTGAGGTTCTCGCTGTGGTGACTATGAAGAGTACAGTCTTCTGGGTTGTAACACTGTGTAGTTTAGGGAAAGCCTAGTGTTTCAGAGGAACATATTGCCTGCATTTTCAGGATTGAAAAGTAAGGGAAGAAAGAAACTAGTAAGAAACAGATGACAAGCAGGCTTACTGTTCAACCCAGCAGATGGAGGCAGCAGTGTGTTCCTCCGAAATGTTGAGCTTACTCCAGTATACACAGCATTACTTACTTTACTTGCTCTTGGAGCTGAGCCCTTCTGGAGAAGCCACTAATTCTGCAGCTAGAATTTTCCTCAAGCATTTCCCAGCATCTAATGGAACCTAAAGGTTCATTACTGTGTTCACAAGAGCCCTCCACTGGTCCCTATCCTGAGCCAGATCAATCTACTCCATACCATCCTATCCTGTCTTTCTAAGATCCATTTTAATATTTTCCACCCACCTACACCTTGGTCTTCCCAGTGGTCTCTTTCCTTCTGGCTTTCGCACCAGTATCCTATATGCATTCCTCTTCTCCCCCATTCGTGCTGCATGCCCTGCCCACCTAATCTTCCTTGACTTGATCATTGTAATTATCCTTGGAGAAGAGTACAAGTTATGAAGCTCCTCATTATGCAGTTTTTCCAACCTCCTGTCACTTCATCTATCTTTGGTTCAAATATTCTCCTCAACACCCTGTTCTCAAACACCCTCAGCCTATGTTCCTCCCTTAATGGCAGAGACCAAGTTTCACACCCATACAGAAGCACAGGCAAAATTATAGTTTTGTATATTCTAATTTTTAAGCATTACGATCTAGAATATTGTATTCTTTATTATTGCCGTTATGATTACTTGAGTACAACATGAAACTGAATTCAAGTCAGACATCTGATTACGAAGAATATGATTTGCTGGGATGGGAAGTTGTGTAGTGTGGCTAATAGGTACCAGTATTCAAGTGGAACTTGCTGCTTGCAAGTTGGTCCAAGACTTTAATACTTAATCAGCCATACTGCATGGTGTCATATCTCAGAAGATTTCAATTTTAATATTTGCTATCATGAGAATCTTAAATCTTACATCTTGGACACAAAGTATGTATAGAAGGGATTGTTTTGCATGTTGTCTGTCCCAAGCTTAAGCACACAGACCTCTTTTTGTAAAACGTCTCTAACAGTTGTTAGATGCACTTTCTTGTATATTAATGCAATGATCATTATATTATCACATGTCTGAGTGACTTTAGATGGGATTTGGATTGGTGACTTGATTTGTTGGCCACTTTAACACGTGACTTGTGACTGTGTAACAATAGCAGCTCCACCATTACATGCCGTCTACAGGTCATTGTAACTGCAGCACATAGGCTTCTACTGTATGTCTTGTCTTCACAGGCCCCCTTACAACTAACTGCCAGGCTAGCAGCCATCTCACACAAACCTCGTAGTCATCACTAGTCATCTTCTGGTAACGGATCTTCACATTGTCCTCTGCTTATGTCCGTACCGTCTGACACATATCCCACAACTGAATTAAGGTGTAAACTTGGTCCCGCTTATGTCCCCTTGGCACAGACCAATAGAAAACACAGCTCTTCTATTGTTACACGTGTGTCTGTAGGGTTTCTCACGTGATTGCTACTCAGCCAGTCATTGGCACACTGGCTGCTGCCTAGCAGTTAGTGTTGTCTCATTGTTTTGTGGTCTTTGCCTATCAGTAGTTCTGTGTGCCACAGTATTAATGAAAAAAAAAAAAGGAAAGGAAACAGTATTATATAATAAAGCACACTGCTCATCCTTTGTATTTCTGTGCCCCATTCAAAATCTTAGTTTAGATTATAAAGAGTGCATGGATTCAGGTGTTATGAGACAGGTTATCAACCCCTTCTTTGTCATAAAATCTTCGTGTCTTCCTGTGTTACTTATTTCTGTCTCTTAGTATTCACTCATTTTAAAGTAGTATGTATGTCATGTCCAAAGCCTGCTGTCCTTTCCCCTGTGTCAGTAAACAGCTTGCAGCTGTGGCAGTAAATATGCTGTGTATAATGTAAAGCCAGTGCTGTTGTTTATTCTTATTCTTTTAGAAGAAAATTGAATCATCTCATATCATGTTACACTAGTTTGAAATTCAATAGGGGTATATATTTATACAGGAGCAGCTAATTATTCTTTTACAGCAAACCCAATGTGATCATATTGCATGCATAATGTTATTAGTTTCCTTTTTAGTTTGTTTGATATGGGAGCGTCCTACTGTGGTTATACATCAGACATTACATGCTCTTTCCCTGTCAGTGGGAAGTTCACCAAGGACCAAGCTGTGATCTACAATGCTGTGTTGAAAGCAAACATGGCTGTGATGAATGCTGCCAAACCAGGTAATATGCATTCATTTTTAATCATGTCAGTGAATTTAGTAAACAGAAGTTGTGAATATGCATCACATCAAACGAAAACTTTGAGAGAGGAAAGACAGAGTGGAGAAGCACAGTTTCTTAAAGTAAATGCTTTTCTGGCCACATGATAACATTTTAGATTTTAGTAATGTTGGAGTCGTAATTAGACATGTGCAAGTTTTGAATTTTTGAGACTGAACGAAGAAAAATATTCTTGATTGCAGTTCAAACATGAATTTTTTCAGTGCCATATTTAAAGAATTTTCTGATAGCTGTTTTTGCTTGGTGCATCAGGGCCTGATGTTGGGTGGGATTGATATATTTACTGGAATGGAAGACATGTTTTATTCCCCCTCTTTAAAACCTTATGAAATTACAGCTCACTACTTGTCATGAATTTTGAATGCTAAATTGATGCAAGTTATGGACGATTTGAATCTGTTGTAAGCTTTTTGTACTTCTGTGTTAAAATTGCTGCTATATCATGCTATGACAGTAGCAAGTGAGAAAGCAAGAGAGATGGATTTATGGAATGTTATCGCATCATGTTGTGCAATTAATAAGTGGGGAAGCTGTGTCAACACAGCTGGGTATGCAAGTAATTGTTTGTATACATATGATTAGGCTATCATCAGGCTATATGTACATTTTTCTTTCTGTATTTATATAACCAGGCCAGTTCATTACAGCTGTAGCTGATTTAATATGTCCTCTTTTATGACATGTTTGATGAATGTACTGGTACTTGTAGGGTTGTAATACAGGGTGATTCATATAGAACCGGCCCAACAAAATGAGGTGTAATATAAAATATACCATACAGATATTAAAGTAATTTACACATATCTTATCTTGGATTGTGTGCCATGATCAGAAGCAGGTGTTGAAAGTGTCCGCCGTTTTCAAGTAGGCATTAGAAACACTCGCTGTTCAACAGTGTACTCCATGACTGTCGCCTGCGCACCGCAGACACGTTTTGGCATTGTCCTTGACCTTGCAGCATAAGGGCTGCCACTTGCCTGATCATGCGCACACCATTCGGCTCAGGACGGCCCACGGATTATTATGTTGTAATTGTTAGCGGTTATATGCATCACCTGTGGAATTATTAGCAAATTTATCGGGCCGGTTCTATACGACTCACCCTGTATTTTTGAAATAATACCAGGTACTTCTTAGAAAAATTAAATTATATTGTAGGTGTATCATGGGTTGATATGCATACATTGGCCAATAGAGTGTTACTGGCTGAGCTTCGTGATGCAGGCTTGCTCCAAGGTGATGTTGATGAAATGATGAAGGTCAGTGCTAGACAGTTAAGGAAGCTGCAGACTGTGCATGGCATTAAAAGTAGTACAGATGTGTAAAATTAACTATGTGTCATGGCAAAATACCTCCAGAATAAAGTCAGTGGGACATATATGTTACACACTTTCTCTTTTATAGCTTGCTTTCCTTATTTTATAAAGAATTGTAAAGTGTAGTTACTATAGGATTCTGATGATGGTGTATAACACACAGCGATACTGGGTTTTTGGACTTTATCCATCATCCTGGTTTTTAAGATAACTAAGTAAAACACGACGTTTCGGAAACTGGATCTGTTTCCATCCTCAGGTGAGGGAAAACACCTATTCTGTTGGGTCCAGTGATTGAGGCTACCTCTTTCTAAGGGACCCAATAGAATAGGTGTTTTCCCTCACCTGAGGACGGAAACAGATCCAGTTTCCGAAACGGTGTGTTTTTCTTAGTTATCTTAAAACCAGGACGATGGATAAAGTCGGAAAACCCAATATCTCTGTGAGTTGTAAAGTGCTTATGTTCTGTTGAAAATTGTCTCTAAAGCACCTTATAATGAAGCAGAGGCTTTTATTAATAAATCAATGTATATAGAAGAAATCATTGCACCATCTTTTCAGTTTGTGCTTACGTTTGCTGACAAGTTGCAATGCAAAATTGCTATTTGAAGAAGAGAATGCTGCTGTTTTAGTCTGTTTTCTTTTCTTGAGGAATGAAGGCTTATGAGATCACCATGCTGTCTGCATGTGTCCCCTTTCAACTTTGACATAGCTCCAGCTGATTGATTTTGAAGAAATTTAAAATAAATATTATGACATTAGACCCAATTAAAACCTCTGCTTCATAATTTTTACCAACTGGTAATAACATGGCAGAAGCTGAAACTTGCGAGATGGGACTGACACTAGTATCACTTAAGAATGGATCCTAAAGTGATGTATGATAATAGATCATAAAAAATATGCCACGTTATTAAGGTAATTTTTTGAAGATGCAAAACAACAGCATGCCTGTTGTGTGAAATCTGTGTTTAGCTTTCAGTTTGATGACAGTAATTAATTAAACACTGCAGCTAGGCATTTGAAATTAAACACAGAGAGAGAGATCATGAACATATACTGGCAAATTCTATATGAATTATTGTTTCAGTCAACAATGTGAGTGACATTTTTAATGTACACAGAATCTGTATGTAACACATTATGACCTGCTATGTCCTTATTAATATCCTGTATTCTGTATGCTACACATGGCTGGAATAGGCTGGATTGGGTGCAATCTTCCAGCCCCATGGCTTGGGTCATTTTATGGGTCTGGATACCCATGATGTGGGTGGATATCTGGAAGGAACACCGAGTCGTCCCACAGAACCAGGACTGAACAGACTGCGTACTGCAAGGGTGTTGGAGAAAGGAATGGTTATCACCATAGAACCAGGATGCTATTTCTCTGATGTGGTACTTTGCTTATATGAGAAAAGACATATATATATATCTCTGTGCTTGTAGATAGTGGATGTGTTGTTCATGTAATGTGAATTATAGAAGAGCATGCTACCTGAAACTACACAAGGAAATATTTTGAATATAAGTAAAGGGGTGTCTAATTGTACTGTAATACAGTATTTTTTTTTATTGCTAGTGGGGTGGGACTAAGTCCCTTGTACTGCGGCCACTTCTGGCCTATTGTACCAGCCCCAGATGATAGGTGAGGGTGATTGTGGAGCAATTGGTGGAATGAAGATTGGCAGGGGAAACCGAAGTACTCGGAGAAAACCTGCCCCAGCGTCACTTTGTCCACCACAAATCCCACTTGACCAGACCCGGGATCGAACCCAGGCTGCTGTGGTGGGAAGCCAGCGACTAACTGCTTGAGCTATGGCGTGGCCCTGTTATACAGTATAGTCATATATTACAAGAGAAAAGTTAAAAATTTTGTAAGTGAAAATTTATTTTACTTAATGAAGGAGATAGTATTTGGAAGCTTTAAACTTTGATCTTTATGTAAGGCCATTTAATTTTCTTTGTGAGTATATATGTGACATAATCAGATAAATATTTTATCTCTGTGAGAACTGTATTTACCCTATATCCAGTGCTGTCCCTGCTAAAGTAGTTCCCTCCAAAGTTGAGGCAGCAAGTCCAGTAATTATTCCAGTGTCCTGTGTTCAGAACTTGATAAGTTCATTCTGTGATTTCTGCTGAATCGTGGCAAAATTATTGAATCTCCTCCACTTCATTGCAAATTTGAGAGTTTAATCACCCATGAGAATGCTTGAAAGGAGTTATATGTCTCTCTTACATTTTTTGGAAAGGTCCTGACACACACGGATGCAGTTCTGCTTTTGCTTGTCAGTAAGCAGACAATGATAAAATTCTATGGAAGTTTGTTGCATGTTTGCAAATTTTATGTCAAACATTTTGGCATTTTCAGAATGAGATTCCCATGTCAGTAGCCAAGTGGAAATAGTGATGTGTATGTTTTCATGAAGCTGTTCGTTGATTGCACAACATTTTTATCTGTTTTGCTAATGGATGGCGCAGTCAGTATAGTAGCGGGCTGGATGGGCAGAGTTTGAATCCTGGCAGGGACAAAAAAGTTCTCTGCTACATCATGACTGGCTCTGGGGCCAACCCAGCCACCTGTTCAGTGGGTACCAGTGGAGATTTTTCCAGGGGGAAAGTGGCTGGAGTGTGAAGCTGGCAACTCACCTCCAACTAGTGCCAAGGTCATGAATGGTTGAGCTGTACTCTCCACTCCCCTATATGTCTCTGTTATGTGCTTAATTAATTAAGCACAAGGACAGCTTTACTTTTTTTTACCTTTGCTAATGGATGGAGTTCCCGAATGCTCAGCACTCTTTCATTGATATCCTCACCCCATTGTTTCCTGTCTAAAAGTAACTTTTAATATATTAGTAGGTTCCTGTAGCAGTCTAATTTGAAGTAGAATGCAATTTGAAGCAGAATGCACTTACACTTTTTTTTTTTAAATCTGCCACTTCCTGATAACATAATATGCAGAGAGCACAAGACAGAATATCGCTTCACAAGGTGTTACAGCTAAGTGATGCAAGCTACGACTTTGAAATGAATGGGAAATGACTCACCAGATTCTACTCTGCCACCACCTATCAGAAGAAGTTTGTCTTCAGTCTGGAAGCTGATTGGTCACACTGAGCTTATTCTGTTTAGAACTGCCAACTGTTTACAGTTTGCTGGCACAGTTCTAACTTCATGTTGTATATTCATTTCAGATGATTCTTACGTCTGTCTTTTTAGTCTGATCAGTCAGGAGAGATATTCCACTGTTTCTTGTGGTTACACACTGTTTCCAAAATATGACTTTTACCATGTATGAGAGGGCAAAGTAACCTCTCACCAACCAGAATCTTGACTTATAATTCTGTCCATGTGCAGTGTTACATACATATGTAAAGTAAAGCTATCCCTGTAACAGGCCGTGAAGGCCCATAGGGTTGTGAGACGTTGAGGGTCCCACATTACCTTGACAGTCGGCTCAAAGATGGCGGTAAGGTTGTCAGGCTATGCGCTGGCCGCGCTTCACTCCCCAGGAAAACCATTTAATTAATTCCTGGTACTCATTTCTGTTAGAGGCTGAGTAAACCCCAGGGCCATAGTGTGGCCAATGACCTCATCGGGACTTGAACCCGCGACCTTCTGGCTTGTAGCATAGTACCTTAACCACTGTGCTACCGCGTACATACATATGTATTTGACTTTACTACTGCACTGTATAAGAACGTAGTAATAGTGTCTTCATTTTTAGCTTTTATTACTCTGAATAGAATACTCTGGAAATCTGTAACCAAACTACTTACTCACATGATTGCAGGATTTTAATATACACAAATCATTGTGTGATTAGTGTGTACTTGTGTAGAACCTGAAATGAAGTGTGTGTGTGTGTGTGTGTAAATACTTCACAGTAATACTGCTAGACTTATGAAAATCATGGGCAGGGAGGGAGGAAATATTATATACTAACTGTCATCAAAATAAGGAAATTCTGGCATTCAGGGCTTCCACTTTTCTGCCTACTGTTGTATTCCCTTCAGCCCTCTCTGGCATGTGTCAGCCAGCCACTAATGGAGATTATCACTACCAAAATTTCTGTGAACAGAATGGCAAGATGACTGAGGAGAATGTAGTGAAGATTGTTACAGGGCTAACTGTAATACCCTTAGCTTGGGGAGTGTGAGGAGGTGGTCGATCATGGAACTTATCCTTATTACAGTTTAAAAATCAGTACATGTTGTCAGTAATGTTTGATTGCAATTCATGAGGATAGATAATTTTGTCTTATTTAAGCATATCTAATTGGTTTCAATAAAAAAAGAGGGTTTGAAGTAAAGAAAAGGTTCTGAACTATTGAAGCTGATGGACGTCTGTTCTTTAAACTCATCATGAAGGTTTAAAATCTCATGGGACCATATTTGTGTATATGTTTCCTATTTCTTATCCATTTTGACTTAGATGTGATGTGTAATTTATTGACAGTAGAGATGTCCCCCTGCATACTTTTTTTTTTTTCACAGTACAGTTGATTAATAATACTGTCCTTATTTTGCATGTTTAGTTGCTGGATAAAGCACTTGCCAACCCTGAGCAAGCCAAATTTATGGTTCCTGAAGAGATTGAACGGTTCCGTAACTTTGGTGGAGTCCGTATTGAAGATGATGTAATCATAACGGAGGATGGTGTTGAGAATATGACTAAAGTTCCACGCACGTAAGTCAGGCATTTTAATTTGAGGCCGCAAAATGTATAATAATGTGCTGGAAACATTAATCTTATGATCTGAAGGGCAGAAGAATTTGAAATGTATCAGTTTGGCATGATGAGAAGGACTATAGCAAATTACAAGGCCTCAAAACAAAACATGAATCATGTCAGAGAAAGAAAAGATGTCTTGAAAGATATTGCTTTGTATGTTTGTTAAATTGAATTAACTTTTATTATAATTGGCTGAGGACTTTAAATGTTAGGTCAGTGGCCAAATTGGAAGATGGTGGTTTTAAGTGGTAATGGTATCAGTATTGAAAAAATATATGTACAGGGTGAATGTGAAATGATTCCCAAACTTTTGGATGTGGGTATGCACAGTGGAACAGTAAAATATGTGTGTATGAACATGTGTCCAAAATAGTCGTGCATCAGAGCTATGGTGATTTTGAATTTTAGAATAATTTGAGGACTCCAGCCTACCTGGCATAGCTTTTTCTTCTTTCTGATTATTTACAGATGTGCTCTCTTGTCTTTTGCAAAGCCAGCCATGGGTTAATGTTAGTGTAGCAAGAAAATAAAATTTACAGAAATGTTGTAAATAAGACTTCAAACCTTTAATTATTATTACATACATAACAGAGGTATAGAACTCATTAACCCATTTGCTTCCCGATGTGAAGTTGGTTCTTTACCGGTGCTTTATGTGGACTGCTATACGAGACCAAGGTAGTAACACACCATGAAAAACCAAAATGTTTATTTTCAGAACGTACTTTTGAGTTTCTTCCCCTTTTGCTAGGTAGTGCATGTGATTCCCTGGATGTGTATAGTATGTTTGCTAGTCATTTGAAATATTCAGTATATAATATTTAATTAACCTTTGGGTTCCATAATAGGTGGGTAAACTTTTTACTATCTGAGCAACTGTTAACTTGTATTGTATCGTATTGTATTGGAGAGGGTGGGTTTCCCCATGCACTTAGACCAACTGTTGGTCTATTGTGCGTCCCCCTATGATATTCTACCAGTCTCTATTCCCTACCGGTACTGGTGCGTGCCATCAGTCCCGACTCAGCCAGCGAGTTCGGCCTCTACTGGCTCAGCAGTATCTCGATGCTTCCCCCATCTACCAGAGGCATTAGAGACTACTGTTGGGCGGGAAATGTCCTGAATTTGGCTCAGTGGTCCACTTGGGATATGAGGTTCTTTTACGTGCCGTAAAGCTACGACACAGGACCCACGGCTTAAAGTCCCTACCGGAGGACTTGTTCCCTGAATTTTTCTGCCCTTAAAAATTCCACAACCTCTGCCGGGTTTGAACCCGCATACCTTGAGTCACGAGGTGGGAACATTACCCCTAGACTACGGAGGCCGCTAACTGTTAACTTACCAAGAAGGATTCTGCTTCAGAAATTTAATTTGAAGGTTTTTTAATGTTTCATAGTAATGAAAAGAGTTAATTTGAAGGTCTTTCTGTGTTGTATCAGGATTGAAGAGATAGAGGCAGTGATGACAGAGAAGAGTGAATTGGTACCGTCAGCTCCTGTTGGTAAAGCCTGTGCCTGCTAAACTGTACACAGCAGCTTGGTGATATGATAACAGTATAACAGAATTGGGTTTTACACTGAACAGCTGTTAATTGTTGAATGTACAAGTGTAAAAGAATATTAATTTTATGACATATTTTGTATGAGAAATCATAATTGCTGAATGGGAAACTGTTACACACTTATTAACAAAGGCAATACCTTTATATTGACACACTTTGCTTTAGCTTGGAATTAGTACATATTATTTAGCATTGTATCAAGATATTTTGAAGGAAAATAAAATGAGTAATGCAAACTGTGGTGTTCTACTTTGAATATTTTAAGTAATGTCACTGCTTTTATTTATGAAAGAAGCCATAAAAATGTTAAAATTTTATGGTAGACAGGAGGAATCAATGAATTTTACCATCAGAGAGCTTAGTGACAGCAACTAAGACATGCTAAGGACAGTCTACTGAAATGTGTCAAGCAGTGAAGTACATATTATGGAAGGCACACCTAGGAGGCAGGTTAGATCCGCGCCATAGCTCAAGCGGTTAGTCGCTGGCTTCCCACCGCGGCGGCCCGGGTTCGATCCCGGGTCTGGTCAAGTGGGATTTGTGGTGGACAAAGTGGCGCTGGGGCAGGTTTTCTCCGAGTACTTCGCTTTCCCCTGCCAATCTTAATTCCACCAATTGCTCCACAATCACCCTCACCTATCATCTGGGGCTGGTACAATAGGCCAGAAGTGGCCGCAGTACAAGGAATTTAGTCCCACCCCATTAACAATAAAAAAAACATAGGAGGCAGGTTCCCGGATCTTGAATGCAACTTATGGTGCTATTTGTGTTTCAGTACAGACACACAACTTTAGGGTGATGTGTAAAAATATTTTTAAACATCTTAAATGTAAGTTCATAAGCCAATTTTGTGGATTCCCCTCTTGGAAAAGAATCCTGGCAGTACCCTTACCAGGGGATAACAGAGAATGATATGTGTGGTATGAAGAAGAGCCCCACGTGGCCCCTGTTGGCAGCAACCTTGGTTCCATAGGCATGTTATCTTAAAACTTGTACATGTAAAATTAATCATGTAGAGCAAACTATTATTAATTTACAGTTCAAAGCCAAACATGAGGAGGATGTGATTATCTAAATTTACAGCAGCTTGCAAAATGGGAACATGCTGTTTGTCTGATTCTTTTGCTCACCAGTGAATTGTTGGACATTTGTATCTTAGATCTTGCCATCTGGCATTGTTGCAGTAGCAAAGTGGTGCTCTCTAGACATGCTGAAACTACTTCATGGAACTTTATTGAGCGGATAAGTTACAAATTACCGGTCATTTTCTTTCTTCAGTAACTTCTTATTTTATTTATTTATTTTTTACTCTTCTAGAATAAAATTAACTGTTTATAGCGATAGGTATGCTTTATAGATATTGGCTGTAAAAGAGTTATTAAGAAATCTGTGAGCACACTGATAGACGACAGCCAGATATGTCACTCAGATTGAAGCAAAGTAATATCTACTGCCACTGTGTTTTTGGACTTTTGTCGGGATAATGTCCCTTCCATTCTGTATGTCACAAATTTAACTTCTGGGAAATGTTTTTGAGGAGGCACTTCTTGGTATGTGATTGATGTACCACTATCAAACACGGAATTTCAGTTTTAAACTATTTCAGAATTCCATCTATAAAATATAGGAGTAACAATTACAGACTTGAGTTTCAAAATCTTAGTATTGAGACACATTGCTCTGTTACAGCAACAACAAAATCCCATGCTTGAATTCTGTTTTGAGTCCATTAATGGAAATCATTGCAGTCACCTATCTAAACTGCATGTTAGAATAAACTTTTTGTCTCTTCGTCTTCATATGGGTAAATAATATGTAATGCATATAATACATGTGTGCCAGTTAAATAATACACTAACGTTATAAAAGATAAAACAACTCCATCCAGTGTGACTGTTGAAGTTTTTACTACTTCAATTCTTAACACCCTTACATGTTTCGGTCCCTATAGACCATCATCAGAGGGACATCGATACTCTTTGGAAACCACTATTACAATGGGTGTTCTGAATGTTAAAATATATACACATACAATGTTTATAATGCACAATATCTACAAAATCCAAAGTAAAAACAACACAGCACGCCACGAACAAACACAGGACGATATCAAAGAACCTCCTTCTCAAGAAAGACGTGCGGCACAAGTTCGGCCCCCATCAATTAAGGCGATGAGAGAAGGGACACGAACCTAGTTGATTTATAAATTTTAACCTAAATAACAAAAGTTTTAATATACCAGGACAACTGCTGTAGTTGTGAAAACTTTGGATTTTATATATATTGTGCATTACAAACATTGTATGTGTATATATTTTAACATTCAGAACACCCATTGTAATAGTGGTTTCCAAAGAGTATCAATGTCCCTCTGATGATGGCCTATAGGGACCGAAACATGTAAGGGTGTTAAGAACTGAAGTAGTAAAAACTTCAACAGTCACATTGGACAGAGTTGTTTTATCTTTTATAATATTGTTAGTGTGATGGACCAGAATGAAACAAATCAAATACAATAACAGTTTTATGGCTGAGAAATAGTTTAAATGCACTACACATTTTATCAAGTTTTTGTGATGATGATTATTTCAGATGCCTGTCAACTCCTCCCCACTTATAGTTGGCACTCTGGTGGATGTAGCCTCACTGAAGGTCTTTATTTATCATCTAACTACTAACTCCATGGGTCTGAGCCTTTCTTAAGAAGCTGCCAGTTGTGCAGCTACTCAAGAACTTTCCAATGTTTTATGGAACCCAAAAGTTCATTACCGTGTTCATGAGAGCCCTCCACTGGCCCCTATCCTGAACCATATCAATCCAGTCCATGCCACCCCATCCTACCTCTCTAAGATTTATTTTAATATTATCCACCAACCTACGTCATGGTCTTCCTAGTGGTTTGTTTGCTTCTGGTTTTCCCACCAATATCCTTTTCTAGGGAGTAGGGCCAGATTTATATTTGTGGTTTCCGGGACAATCAAACTTATATATTTGTTTTGTGGAGGCCCTGGGGTGACCACCCCATTCACTTCTCTTTTAATCCAGTCCATCTAGGGGTTGTGAAGCAGTAATAAGTGGGGTATATATATCACAATTATTTCGGTTAAGATTAGTGTGTTTGTATCAACAAAGGTGATATTTATTATTAACAGAAGTAATGATCACCTGTTCACCATATACCACATCAGAACATGAATAAAGTTGTTAATTGCATTTACCACCAATACTTAACACATTTACAGTCTTTTGCAAATTACAGAATGTCTTACTGATTTCCACCATACGAGCTAATAGCTGACAGAAATTTCTGAAATAGCTGAATGTTAGGATTATCATGTGAGTCTTTGAGCTGAAGACATGAATGGGTGAACAGTGAAATCATACAGGAAGTTGATACATAAGTACTTGGATTCACGCTGTCATATGGTTGTGAGGTCCTTGGGGCTATCAAAAGTAGGGGGGGCTTGACCACTATTGACAAATTCATTTTATAACAGTTTTTTGTTCCTTCTTATAATAACTAAAAATAGAAACTAAATTCTCGAAATTTTAGAGAAACAGATGTCTCATAAAAATCTGTGGGTTCTGTTTCTGTTTAGTGGAGGCTTTGTTGTGACCATTCTGATCACTCCCTCTTAAATCCCACCCTAGGAAAAAGATATGGAAACTAAATTTCTAAGTTATTAAAAGTAGTAGTCACCATCACCAAGCAGGTTGGTCTCATTTTTTTTATTGCTAGTGGGGTGGGACTAAGCCCCTTGTACTGCCCCAGCGCCACTTTGTCCACCACAAATCCTACTTGACCAGACCCGGGATCAGACCTGGGCCGCTGTGGTGGGAAGCCAGAGGCTAACCGCTTGAGCTATGGCGTGGTCTGGGATGGTCTCATGGTAATGCTCCAGACTTGTATTCAGGAGTTGCTTGGTTACAATCTTGGCTGGAACACAGGCTATCCTGACAGGTTTGCTGTGATTTTCTTTGTCTCCTCAAGGCAAATGCTGAGATGGTACATTGGTTAGGCTACATAGCTCAAGCTATGGATTCCCACCACGATGGCCCAGGTTCGATCCCGGGTCTGGTCAAGTGGCATTTGTGGTGGACAAAGTGGCACTGGGGCAGATTTTCTCTGAGGACTTCGGTTTCCCCTGCCAAACTTGATTCCACCAAATTCTCCATCATCAAAATCACCTGGGGCAGGTACAATAGGCCAATCAGTGGCCGCTATGCCGAGTGGGCCCAGCTGGACTCCACCCCCCACTAAGCAAGTGAATTTGGTTAGGCTATAAACAACTTGCAAATCTTTTCCATTTCATCATTTGTCAATCATGCTACCATTTAGCACTCTGTAGTCTAGATACTGAAAATGTAAAATAACCCACCAAAAAAAAAAGGCCTTGTGAGCACAACATAAACAATCCACAGACCAGAAACACATTGGAATAAGAAATTTATAACACCCTAGCTTTACTAACTGTTATCTGGAAGTGCATGATTGACAGAGAAATCAAAGGCAAAACAAGAATTTCAGCTGTTGAAACTTATCAGATCAATAGTGAAATACATTTGAATGAAATGAAGGTGCATTAAAAGAATTAAAGAATGATTGACAAAATTTCAAAGCACAAAACAAATTATATTCAACATGTTGAAAGAAGTAAACAAACAAACTTCTGATGCTATTAAAAATTCATGAGCTACATGGATCAAGAATCAAGGATTGACCTTGTAAGAGACTACTGGATGAATGAGGTCATAAGAAGTCAAAACATGGCCCATCTCCTTGACTGTTATAAGTTGGTTATCATGATAATCGTTATCAGTCACATGCTACACGGAACCCAACTTTTATTAAAATGCTATATGTATTTAATACATTTCCTCTATTGTATCTCATCACAGTTCTCTTTTTTTGTCAGATTTTTAGTTATGGCTGAGTTCAGTTATATTAACTGATTGAGGATGAATGGTTAATCTAGCAATGATGTACGTATTCTTTAAAACATAAAATGGCCACTTAGTGATGCCCCCGTGTGTCACTCAGTATTGATGTATTGTTGCTTAGGGTCAAGTTTGTGTCATTCCACTTTTTCATTCATTCATTCATTTATTGTATATTCCATAAATCAATATACATAGATATAGAACCAGTCACATAATTAATATAGTACAATACAAATATAAATATATATGTACAGTTTATAATCATTAAAATAGATAAAAAAAACATGTGTTAAATTTATATCAAAAAAACAGGCTTACATCACTATACATAAAATTATGCAATATTAAAATTGTTTATGCTATTATCCTTATTTCTAGGCAAATTTGTTACTAAAGAATTCATCACATGTATAAAAGCAGTTTTGTAATAGAAATGTTGTCAACTGAATTTTAAAATTGTTCAAGTCATTAGACATANTTAGACATAGATTTGATTTTTGGTGGCAAATGATTAAAGATCTTTACCCCCATGTAACATATTCCTTTTTGGAATTGTGTCAGACTAGTTTGCGGATAATGCAGATCACAGATAGATCTGGTACTACAATTATGCATTTGTGAGTTGAATGTGAACAATTCCTTATTTACTATGACAAACAGAGAGATCGACAATATATATTGAGCTTGTAGGGGGAGGATATCCAATTCTTGAAACAAACTACGACACGATGTTCTCTTTGTTGTATTTGTTATAATCCTAATTATCCTTTTCTGCATCCTAAACACTTTTATACTATGCGGGGAGTCACCCCAGAATATTAATCCATATGTTATTATAGAATGTGCATAGGAAAAATACATAATTTTTAATGTCTCCAGTGGTAAAAAGGATTTAACTGATCGGATTGCAAAACAGGATCTGTTTAACTTATCAATTACTGCATCAATATGACTTTCCCACGTTAAAAAATTTTCAATTTTTAATCCCAGAAATGATATATTAGAAATACTTGGAATTTGATTGTTTAAATAACTAACTTGAACATTTAAGTTTTTACTGTTTTTAGTTTGAAACTGTAGAAAATAAGTTTTTTCATAATTTATTACTAGCTCATTTTTCCTAAACCATTCATTTATCATCTCAAATAATTTATTTATTCTAATTTTAAATGTTGCAGGATTCTTATCAAAGATAAGGATACTTGTATCATCTGCAAATAATATTGGTTTGGATAGGTCAGATATAATTTTTGGTAAGTCATTTACATATAGTAAAAAGAGCACTGGGCCTAATACAGAGCCCTGAGGCACTCCGCACTGTATTTCTTTCCATTCAGAACAACATTTACTCCCGTTTTCATACAAAATTACTCTCTGGTATCTTCCTCTCAAATAGGATCTTATAAGTTTCTGAGCAGCTCCTTCAATTCCATAAAAGTCCATTTTTGATAGCAATATATCATGATTTACTCGGTCAAAAGCCTTACTCAGATCACAAAAAATTCCACCCACTATATATTTGTTGTTTAAAGCCCTATAAATATTCTCCATTAGATTATAAGTAGCTAATGTAGTTGAAGAGTTTTTTCTAAAGCCGAATTGCTCCTGCGTTAGCAGGTTATGTGTATTTAATTGGAAAATCATTCTTTTATATATAACTTTTTCAAAAATTTTAGAAAAGATTGGGAGTAAAGATATAGGTCTATAATTAGACATGTCGGTTTTATCCCCCTTTTTGTGTATGGGTATTATTTCAGAATATTTTAATCGAGCAGGGAATATTCCTGTAGACAATGACTTATTAAATATGTAAGTTAATGGTGATGATATATATGGTGCACATGCTTTTATTAGTTTGGTAGTAATTCCATCATATCACATATAGCCTACATTAGAAGCTGTTCTGTTCTTACGGCTGTTGATCCATGTGAAAACTGGGCTCTGCCAATGCAAGGCTACATAAAGTGTAGTCCACATTTTTAAGGAGGTGAGGGGTAGATCTAGTTTGCCTTCAGTTCTCTGTTCACTGTCTCTGTAACCATTAACAAATGCGGTTTGTGGTGAATTGAGATTTCTGTGGTCCATATTCATATCTGGTCTCAAAGACTGCAGTGAACATGGCAGGTCCTTCCACACTTCTGGGTATGGATAATTCAAAGGATCTGACCCAAAAGAAGAGATACGCTTTGTGAGAAGACAGCCAAGAGAGTAGCAGTGAAGATGAGTTGAAATGGAAAGGAAAATTTATTAGGGGTGTCATGTGTCATAAATATGTAAAAACTCGCAACAAATTGCCTTTTTAATGTTGTTCTTTGAATACATTTACAATACTTTAGAAAGAAAACTGTTCCCCTTATAACAGATCCAGTGCCTCTGATCCAAAATATCAATATCTTTGTCGTTTCTTGACCCATAAGGACAGAATTGACATAAACAGCAGTGTGTTGTGATCAGCCGCAGCTTTTGTAAGGATAGCATGACTTGGTTGGGTGAACTTGGAATGAAATATGCAATGCATTGGACTGCTAAAGGAAATCTGAGGTGATATTTAGTTGTAAAAATGTAGTAAGAAGAATGCAATAGTTCTGTAGGTATTGTGGCGATTCATTTTACATAATGCAGTGTTTGAATTGTGGAACACTGTAGCAAGGTTCTGAATGTTTTTGTACGGCCACAAGTAACGGGAACTTGTGATATACAGTGCCAAACAATGATGTATTATTGTTTGTGTGCATGCTGCTAGGGTGTAAGTATTTATTTCTGTTATACTCTGCATGAATTATCTTGTCCTTGGTGAGTTGATCATGTATTGCTGCATGGTGTATAGTGAGGTAAATATTTTTGAAATGTTATACAGTTCTGTGCCAACTTTAGCAGATAGAGGGTGTCGTGTGGTCAGCGCAACGAATCCCCATGGCTGTTATTTTCGGTTTTCTAGACCGGAGCCGCTATTTCCTTGAAATAGCTCCTCAATATTATATTTAAGCATCCTGTTGCACTCTATATGATAAATGATATGAACTCCATCCCAAGTGCAAACAATATATTATGTCCTTGACCTTGCTCTCCTTTACACTACATGTTTCAGCCTCAAACGGCCATCATCAGATGTATACACTCACGTTGCTGTTACACTGCACTTAGTTTAAAATTTAACATTTAAAAACACATTGTTTCTTTTGTTGTTATTATCAACATCTACTTCGTTGATATCTGTCTGGTTTATAGATTATTTTTGTTACACACGTTAGCACTTATAAAAGCTTTAGTTCTAATTTTAAAATCCTTAAAATTTTTCTCTAAATTTTAAAATCACGGAGTTTTTTTATACAGTTCTGTAAGCTTTAAGAATCTTGAAAACAAAGACAAGCTTTGCTCGAAAGTATCAAGACTGAATCTGTGAGAACTAAGATTCTGCAGGGATGCAAAGTTAGTCCTGTTTAAAGTAGGCTCCTACAGTACGTACACATTTCCATGATTTATTTAATCCGTCTTGCAGTGCATACACTCATTTATCTCCTTCTCTCCCTCGCACTACATGTTTCGGCATAATAATGCCATCTTCAGGTGCTTACTTATCCACGTCAAACCAGTTCATTGCATGCCATGTTCACACATTAAAATAACTAAAATATGTATCTATCATATACATTGTCAAACGTTAAAAATATTAAAATTGTTCAGGATACCACATCGCTACGTCGCCCCTCACTACGTCAGTCACGCCCATTCTCCTTTGTTGGAGCACTCCTTCATTATCTTGTGTGTTGTGCTTTTGTTGTGTCGTGCTCCTGCGACTGCGTGTGTTATACTGTTGGGCTTCCTGGGTATGTACACATTTGTTCCACCAATCCTGCCAATGTTGTGAGTACCTCTCAAACTCAATTTTTTGAGTTTCCAACAGCTGCCCCATTATATTCTTTTAACTGCTTTCACATAATCAGACTGTAGATAATTTTAAGTCACTGTTAAGTTTAGGGAGCAGTTGAAAGCCACATGGAGCAATATGCAGTAAGTATGAAAATTGGAATGTTTATGGGTTACTGAGTTTAGCTAGAACTTGCTGCACAAGCTGGGCTGAGTGAGCAGGTTCACTGCTATGGTGAATATGCCGCTCATTGGATTTCCATCTTTGTGGCTGTGTTTAATGCACTGTCACGGAGATGCCTCGACAGATGTTAATGGAAATTTTTGTAGATATATTAACACAGGGCGGTTAAAATTCTCATTCATGATTTTTTAATCACATGCATGAACTTAAATTTCTTATGCTGTTTATGCTGAAATAAGTTAATCCGATTTCTGTGCTGTTATACAAAGTCACTTAAACCCTGAAGATGGATGGAGCATGTTCCTCCGAAATGTCCGTATCCACCTATATGGCTACCTGATATCACAACCCAATATAAAATTTGTTTCCAGTACTTTCCTTTGATAACGTTTTCAAACATTGCCGCAAGGAAGGCAGTTAACTACCGCTATCTAGCGTATAATATTGAAACCACCTCAAACGTATGTCGCGGAGGTGGACAGTCGATTACCACAGATCGACAAATGAACTTAGATTCTGATATAATCGATAAGTTTGTCGACAACTGGTTGTGCAATATCGATCTGTGCAGATGACTCTGGGATCGTGCGCGTGTATGTACTCTTACATTCATCTTGGTTGTTGCCTCAACCGAAGGGAAGCTTAGGTGGCGTAGACTGTTGTGAGGAGGTCCTGCGGACTGGCGGTATGGCGTGGTGATCCTTGGCTGGATCTGGGCTATAGGGCGTGTGCCTTCCTAGCATGCCCAATTAGTAGCTGGTTGCCCTTCTTTGTTATCACGTTTCCCCCTCTTTTCTCTCTACGCCCTCGCTGTTGTACGTTATCGACATGAGTGCAGTGCTCCGTCTTACAACAAAAAATATATAGGACAGCCTTCTGCTTCTCCCCGTGAGTTCACAAATTCAGTGCGAAGAACACTATTGTTATGTTTGAAATCTTAACACTATGGTACAGACGTACATGACGTTCTTCATCGTTTTGGGTATACTATTTAATACGTAAAGTTATTTTTGGAGTGAGTCTAGTGAATTGTTTCTGTGTAGCCGAAGAACAGAAAATAAATCCAACTAATGAATTGATTTAAAAGGTGTGCGAAGCATTATTTTTTATGATAAAATCGGTGTTGTAGCATTTCAAATATAATGAACCGTTTCAGTTACTCCAAGATAACAATGAGCTGATCGATGTTTGCTGCTTCATGCAACCCTGATGAATGGGGATGAAATTCTACCCTCTGTGGTTAGTAGTTCCCGGATAACATAGCAGTGAAAAGGTATATTAGGATACAGTATGCAATACACTGTGAAGAGATTAGGAACTAAAAGTGAATAATATTTTCTTAAAACTTTTGTGTACCAACGAGCCTATAAGCAGTGTCTTACGATGCGTGATAATCTAGTCAAAACTAGTAGGGTGTTCGGAATTGTATTTGCGTTCCTGGTTGCTGTGAAATTCGTGAGAAAATAGCAGTTAACATTCTTACGCAGCTGCTTCGAATGAACAGAGCCTGAAATATTTCCCACATTGCGTAGTTGCTGGCTACGGTTGTTAGTCCAGCTCTACCTCAGTTCTCCCTAGCTCTATGATAAGCTTGTCGGTCAGTGTTTGTGTGCAACGAACCATTTCACGTAAACGGAGATATCAAGTTCGACGGGTCAATCAGTGAACACTATGAGATTGTCAAATGGAAAGGATATGAAATTACTCCGAGTTGAGGCATTCTATAAATAAATATTACATATAAACGCACGTTATAATACAGAGCGTGTTTGGTGCGCGTAATCGTACGTTGTGTTCATTGTGTTTAAAATTTATTTCCTTATAATAACGGGTGTAAAACAGGCATTCAAAGTGTCGTCCTGCACAGCATTAATGTTCTGCTTCTCAAGCCCGTTCGGTCGCCGAGACCGGAGCCAATTTGAGGCACCGGCATCGGCGACCGATACGACGGGGACTGGAGACGCACCCACAGCGGTCATCATGGTAGAAAGTGCAACGACCAACAGTGGTGACACAAAGGGCGACGAATCTGCCCAAGAAAGTGTGGGGGCGGATGGACGGAAAGAAGTTCGGTGGAAGAAAGGAAAAAAGAACAGTCAGCCTATCTCCGATAGTAGCAGGAACTGTGATGACGTAAGCACAAGTTCAAATAGTAGTTCAAATAACTCTAGAAGCAATAGTTGCAACAAAGACAATGTTACTAGTGCTCCATCAGCAGCAGCTACCGTGACTTTAGTAGTGAACAACACAGAACCAGACGTGATTCCCGAAACACATCGCTCCTATCAAAGCAACAACAGTAAGAACACAAATCACCATAACAGCCAATTATCTATTAGTGGTTCTACGTCTAGTGCATCAGACAACACGTCGACAATGGCACCACCATCATCATCAACGTCATCGGCATCATCTACACGCCAGAGTTCGGTGGAATCATCGTCTAGCAGCAGTAGCAGTAATTGTGACAGTAGCTCTGCTTCATCGGACAGTGTTATACCCTCACCCGTGTCTCCGACGGTAGTGACCACAATAGCACCAGTGCAACAAACAACTTTACCAACTTCTCTACTGCACACTACTTCATTACCAATATATCTCGGTAGTGGAGGGACATTATCCACTCTCGGTCCAGGTCCCAGGTTCAAAACTTTACTTGAAGGCGATATTCAAGTGTGTTACTTGAACCATACACGCACCGTCGTCAGTAAAATTCTGAGTTCCAAGTTCCTGAGGCGGTGGGAATCTCATCACATCTACCTCAACGATTCCTGTATCTCCTCTAAAACAGTAAGTTTTTCTGAGTTTCTGTTACAAAACTTCACGTTGGGCATAACAATGTCGACTTGCAAGAGAACGAGTATCTGTACCAAGCGCAGGTTTGCTCTCATCAGTAGTACCACTACATAAAAGCATTGTTACTTTGTTAACACTGCATTCTATTTGGATTAGAAGCGGCCAGGCAAAACAGACTCTTTGGCTTATGACGGGTTTCAGAGTTGGAAAATTATGACATATTTAGTCTTAATATTTTTTTTTGTAATTATTTTATCGATTATAGTTTCTCTTTAATTCGCTTAGTGGGGGTGGAGTCCAACTTGGTCAACTCGGCATGGAGGCCGCTGATTAGCCTATTGTAGCCTGCCCCGGGTGATTATGATGATGGAGAATTTGGTGGAATGAAGATTGGCAGGGAAACCGAAGTACTAGGAGAAAACCCGCCCCAACGCCACTTTGTCCACCACAAATCCCACTTGACCAAAACCGGGATCGAACCCGGGCCGCCGCGGTGGGAAGGCAGCGACTAACCGCTTGAGCCATGGCGTGGCTTCGATTATAGTTGGCCATTAGATATCAGTTCTGTGGAATGGCAGGCTTAGTGACCCTGTTCAGGATCTTAAGGACTTTCGGGGTTTACTTAGTTATCGTTTGCTAAGTAAATTTTTGTTACTTGGTCATTTCAGAGAATGACAACAAGGAAACGGTATAAAAATTTAAGTCTCGCCAGCACCACTCTTTCCAGACAAGCAGAAACTCCAGAACTTGTCACGTGAATCTGAAGTTAATAGTAGCAGTAACTGTACATATGCGAAAAGTAACCACACACCTAATTCATAATTAAAATTGTAACTTTTTTTTCTGGATCTGACACCTTTATCACTCCCAATGACATTGATAACCAAATTATCGTCCTAAATTTTCCCAATGAAATTTGTTTTCAAATGTGATCGTTACTAGGAATTTTGTCTGCCGTAATTTTGACGTAACACAAGGGAGGAGGCTACTTGGAATACCTAGATGTAGACAGGATTGTAGTAGCGATGAAAATGGCAACAATAGGTGATCTGTCATTAGTTGATCCTATAGATTATGTTTTTTTAAACAACAAATACGTATGTCTGAGTAATATATACCTGTAATGCAGAATCTAGGATAGAAGTGCAATTTGTGTTAACAGAAGGTCTTGCAATTATTTAATTGTACTTCTAGGAGCGAATCTAAAAGTTTCTTTTAAAAGGTCATGTCTGAAATTTGTTCACTAGTTCATCATATGTTATCTGATCGATATTTCGTGATTCTGTGGCATACACGCATGATTATATTTGGGATCACTGAAGGTAAATATCCATGCAGTGAATGGTTTACCGATTTATTCACGGACAGATCTCGAATTAGCATCGATTTGATGATGATATTTCCGCATCTAACACAAATGTTTGTACATTTTCAAAGAAAATCTCAGTTTTTACACCTTTCATTCATTCGGCGCATGAACGTATAATGCATGGGTGTGTCGTACACGTTCTTTTGTTTTCTGTCTTCATAATTTCCACAAGTTGCGTAGTTGGTTGGGGCACTATGCTACAAAGCGGAAGGTCGCGGGATCGAATCCCGATGAGGTAATTGGATTTCTTTTTTAAATTACCGAATCCTTCCAGCAGCACTATGGCCCTGGGGTCGACTCAGCCTTTAACCGAAATAAGTACCAGGAATATTCTTGGAATGTTCTTGAGCGTAAGTGGCGGCCGGCGCGTAGGGCTGACAACCTTACCGCCATCTATGAGGCGATTGTCTATAAAATGTGGGAACCTCAACATCTCACAACCCTATGGGCCTCCACGGCCCGTTACAGGGATACCTTTACTTTACTTCTACTGAATTTCGATGACATTGAAAATTTAAGTCCTGCAAAGAAAGTTGAGGAAATTTAATATCGGTTCATTTCTGTCACTAGAATACATACTTTGTATGAGATTTAAGTGAAGCTTTATCAGATGCTTTAAAACGTTCGTCACACTAAAATTGGTACATGACATTCGTACACACCCTGTTATCTGTAACTTTTGTTTGAATCAATTTTCGTAAACTAAATACGAAAAAAAATATTGGCTTTATTTAATATAACACTTCTACTGCTGTGTCTCACATCAACAACACAATTGCAGTATGGTTCTAAAACTGCAGGATTGTATCCGCAGTAAATGTACGTCATGGACAGTTTGGGATGCAAAATTGTTGAATACCTGGACGTTTTAAAATTAAAATTATCATGAGACTATTTCCATGCTTGGAACAGATTTTCCTTGTGGACCCTGTATGTAGGCAAACTCATTTTGACTAGATGAAACGGCTCAGATTTGAAAGAAGTCTTCCCAGTTGTTTTTAACTTCATTTCCAGGTAATGAACACAATTTACATAAAAATGGTCCCGTGGGAGTTAGTGCTGTTTCATAACGGTTTCTCATTCTGCTTCATGGTGCGATCCTCTTCAACAGTAAAGCTGCATTATGAAAGAATAATGGACAATTAGAGGACTCGCGGCCCCTGTCCACAGAGCACCCACCCAGATCAGCCGTTTGAAAAACGAATATATATATAATCCAGGATGAGAAAACGTAAAAAAAAAGTAAAGTACCAGACCATGAAGGCCCATAGGGTTGTGAGACGTTGAGGGTCCCACATTATCTAGACAATCGGCTCACAGATGGCGGTAAGGTTGTCAGCCTTACACGCCGGACGCGCTTTACTCCCCAGGAAAATTATTTAATTAATTCCTGGTACTCATTTCTGTTAGAGGCTGAGTAAACCCCACGGCCTAGCGGCCTCCGTAGTCTAGGGCTAACGTTCCCACCTCATGACTCAAGGTACGCGTGTTCAAACCCGGCGGATGTCTTGGAATTTTTAAGGGCGGAAAAATTCAAGGAACAAGTCCTCCGGGAGGGACTTTAAGCCGTGGGTCCCGTGTCGTATATTTACGGCACGTAAAAGAACCTCATGTCTCTAGGAGACCTCTGAGCTAAATTTGGCAAAAAAAAGTTTCCCACCCAAAGTAGTTTCCAATGCCTCCGGTAGATGGGGAAGTATTAGGTACCACTGCCAGAGGAGGGGGGACCTCTCTGACAGAAAGGGACCAACTATTAGATACCACTGCCAGTAGAAGGTTGGAACCTCGCTGGCAGAAAGGGGCTAATAGCGAGCACCAGTACCGGTAGGGTATGGAGACAGAGAAATTAGAAAAGGGGGACGTACAATGGACCAATAACTGGTCTAAGTGCATGGGGAAACCCACCCCCTCTATACTCAATACTCAAACCCCAGGGCCTAGTGCGGCTGGAATGACCTCATCGGGACTTGAACCCGCGACCTGCCGGCTTGTAGCATAGCCCCTCATCCAGGATGAAAGTGGATTAAATTATCTTTTATCGTTATTAAACTGTATGAATTACGTCCACCGGCATATGTACGTGATATTTGATATGATGATAATTGGGTTCAGGAATATCAAATAGGCGTGATAAAACAGTTTCGTGAAGATAAAGAAGTGTACGGATCGATTGATTCTTCGTTTATTCATCGGGTGTTTTGCTGGATGATCACATCAGCGAGGATGCGATAGATGGACATGTAGCACGTATGAGGAGATGAGAAATACAGTCTTAGTAAAATAGATGTAAATCGGAAGGTGATATTAAAAATGATGTGGTAGAGAATATATCAGCATAGTAACGGATTCCATAACATGTGGGACATTTCATGACAAATTTCTCTGTTCGTATAAATGCAGCGTAGCATAAAGTTGGTAGAATGGAACTGGGAAGCTTAAATAGGAGAACCGTTGCAGTGTGTTTGGAGAAACGATCCTAATTCGGCTGGAGAAACTCCACGGGATACTTATTCTCGTTTTGGATTCGAATAACATGCCACCCGAATACAAAGTGGCATCCGTCGATTATAATACCGTAATATTTGTCGAATGGAGCTTTCGCTGTTTCGCAGGCTCGGATCACCTCTCCAGATTACGTGAATAATATTTGATATTAGCGAAAATGAAGGAGCGGCAGAGTAAACAGTAAGAGAACCGGAAGTGGCCTTGCAACGATTGCGCCACCCCACACCCTGCTTCCGTTTATGCTCAGCACATACCTACGCGTGCAGGTGGAACATATGCGCAGACTCCGGAGTAACACGGTATTCGACGTCCTCTGATGCACCATTATCGAACTAAATGTTTAACTGTTCACAGCGGCCAGGAGGATCAGGATACAATGAATCAGATAGGCTACTTAATTCTTAGTCCTAATTTCTAAATTTCATCACCGGGTTCTTTCTGTCCTAAGTGTGGGATTTTTATACACATGATTACACTGTTCTCATGTACAGGCAATGCTATTATGGGCATTATAGCAGGATTCTGAGATGCCGCGCCAGGACAGTATGTCTGAATCATATCCATTTTGAAGTTACCGTGATTTTCCTCCCTACATTATTCAAGATTCTCAATTTACAAAGCTTCTCACGCCTAACGTCATACAAATTTCGTTGCAAAAGCCCGGTATAATTTCCAGTACGCCTTTGACATAGATGAAAATAACAGAATTCAATATAACATCGGCTGCTTTGGTTTTGAGTAACAAGTTTCACTTTACAACCTTAATAGTGTACGTTCTGTTGTGTGTTATAAACAAGGTATATAAAGGTACATATAAGGTATGCAATGTACACAACAATATTCTGTATTTTAAAAACTTTTTAACTTTCATGTTTTAATCTTTGTTTCTAATTATAACTTTTATATCTTTAATTTCGCCTCAACAACAATGATGGAAATGTAACAATTAAGGAAAACGTGTGGTAATGAGATAAGTCTATCAATATGACGCGCCAGAATTGAACACATATCAGAAAATAACGGCCAGAATAGAACAAGCACAAAATACCAGACAAAAATAAAAACACGAACTGAAAGAACACGCGTAATTTCTTCGTACAGGCGTGCACTTGGAAATACA